AAAGATGCAGACAGAACTAAATGCTGAACTCCAGGGCACAAAAACATTTGAACATATTCTTATCCACTTTTTCGACACCAAATACCTTAGGAAACTCAGATATCACCATGCAAAAAGTAACAGTGACATCATCACTGTGCTGTACATAGCATGTGCAGAGAGATGTGGGAGGGGCCCAGCGGGCCCCACCCACTACAGGCTGCCAGAGGAAAAAACTACAGGATTGGGCGGAGACAAGACCAGTCACCCTGCACAAGGGAAAAACAGGAAAAACAGCAGCAATGACCGGACTTTATTACAGGAGGGGGCAGAGACGAGACCAGTCCCCCTGCACAAGGAGAGAGAGCAGCAGTGAGCGGTCTTTATTACAGCAGGGGCGGAGACAAGACCAGTCACCCTGCACGAGAGAGAGAGAGAGATCTTTATTACAGGAAGCTCCAAGTCTCACACTGGATTATTGCACAGATCTGGAAGAACATGTGCTGCACACATGACATGTGTCCTGGGCTCTTCTGTCCCTCCTGGGTGCCCACGATGGAATGTGGTAGGAGACCAGACAAAGTGCACTTATTACACGTATACAGATGTAGACGTACCAATATTCTGCGCTCAGGGCCTCCCGTGTTTCTTTTCATACAGCGGCAAAGTCCCTCCTCTGCTGGTCTTGCCTAAGCAGTAGAGCCCTATTGAAGTCTATGGGGCTTGTCTACCTGTGCCTCCTGGCCAAAAGACGGAGGTAGGCAAACCCCAAGGGTTCTACTAAATGGGTGCAGGCAGGAGAGAGAGGACATTGCCACGGGATGTAAACAAACACAGGAGGACCCGGGTGTAGAATCACGGTAAGTATTTTAGGTAGGGGGCAAAAATACGTGCAGAAAGAAAGGAAAGAAAAAGAAACAGATTCACTTTCAATGTGTATAAATCAATTTGCGCTCACCTCGAACGACAGGATCAAGTGGTCTTTTTCCTTCAGCCTGTCTTCATATGCCAGTAAGAGCGGTGACAGGTATTTCATATCCAGCTGCACAATATAATAATATCTCACTGATAGGATTTCAGGCAAATGGATGTTTGCAGAAGTTACAAGAGACACAGATAACACATTTAATCTAATGCCGATCGCTACGGAGATTAAAGACGGCACAAAGACATCCTTCTACAATAACTCCTAAGCCTGCCGCCTGAACTACAACTCAACGTCTGAACAATGTAACATCATGATGGGATATGTAGTCTTGAGAAAATGGAGATTGCATCACATAAAAGCAGCAGGGAAAGATATACAAAGCACACTGGGAATCCAGGAAGTTGCTGGAAGTGACGGGCAGACGGAAGTCGGCGCTCACTACATAAAAGGGATTTTTTTCACACAAGTTTTGATTGTGTTATCAGAAACAACTCTACTATGTATTCCTATTACAATGCTGATGTCACTGTATACCAGGAGAAGATATGCCGGGACTTTAATCTCCTTTAAAGTGACACTAAACTCAGGAGTTAAGGCCCAGTTCACACCTGGGCGTTTTTTAGCGCGTTCGAACGCTCTGCAAAATGCTCAAACACCGAAATCCCATTATTTCCTATGGGTATGGTTCACACCTGGGCGTATTACAGGCCGTATGAACGCGCTACAAAACGCCCTGCGCCCAAAGAAGTACAGGAGCTTCTTTGGGGCGTTTTTGTCGCGCGTTTCCATTGGGTTACAGCCAAGTAGCCCTCGGAAACGCGCGTTTGTCGCGCGTTTTTATACAGCGAATCGCGGTAAAAAAGCACGTCACGAAACGCGCGACAAACGCGCATATTCGATACGCCTAGGTGTGAACCCAGCCTAAATCTTAAAAATACATTCAAGTCCCTGAACTATGAACAACAATGTATCATATTTGTGTATTACTCTGGATCCTCCAATCATCTCTGAATTGGTGCGGACACTGTCCTTCCTTCTGGAGGGGGGCTACTTTTGTTCCCCATGGTCCCTGTGTGTGTTGTAAAGTAGTCACCGCTCCAAGCTCACTCCCATGCGGGATTACAAGCTCAATACGGATTACTACACTAAACATGAGATTGTAGTCCATCCCGGGAGTGAGCTTGGAGCGGTGACTACTTTACAGCACACACAGGGACCATGGGGAACAAAAGTAGCCCCCCCTCCAGAAGGAAGGACAGTGTCCGCACCAATTCAGAGATGATTTGAGGATCTCCAGCTGAGTGATACACAAATAAGAGACATTGTTGTTCATAGTTAAGGGACTTGAAGAATGGATTTTAAAGATTTAACCCCTGTGTTTAGCGTCACATTAAAAAGGAGAACTATGAGGCGAGTGCTTTTCACTCACCTCATAGTTCTAGCCGACCTGTGACAATGAGACTGTCACAGGTCGGCTCAGTAGATCGGGAGGTGAGCGAGCACATACCAGAGGGATTCCCCCCTCCCTGCTCCGATTCTCCAGCGCTGACTGGTGGAACGGACGGGGGAGGGGGCGGGTACAGCTGGCTCTGCCTCTAGATAGGCAGAGCCAGCTGTCACTCACGCAGCTGGGCGGATCCAGACATAATTGTCGGGATCCGCTTCAGCTGCAGCGTCTCAGTATACACAGCTCCCTATATACTGAGCTTAGGGTGACGGGAGGACGCTAGTTTGTGTCCTCCCGTTACCCTAAGGAGAACTATGGAGAAAAGCCCTGACCCCATAGTTCTCCTTTAATAAAGCAGAACACACAAGCGAGTCTTTTTTTTACAACTCGTGCTCATTACACCGGCACAGAACGGTGATCTGATCAATACGATTCTCCTGGTTTGGGTGTTATTTTTGTACCTTCAAATGTATATTTACAGGTCCAGGAGGAGGACCACGTAGTAAATGCAGATGTTGGACCTTTAAACTTACCAGCCACGGCGGTGGAGGTCCTTTGGGAGGTAACCCACCAATCTTCAGATTCTAAAATTAGAAAATAAGAAATAAACTGAAATAAAGCATAAAGAAGATTTGTATGTATAGACCGTCAAACTTTTTTTCCCTTATACAGTGTTAATGACCTTGCACCCTGATATGTGAAAGTTTCCAACAGAACTTTCCTTACAGACAGCCCTCCCTGCCATAATGTCCCTCTGCCAATGTTTTGCTGCTTTAAAGCTGAACTCCTGGATATTTAAATATTGTCCACATACAAGATCCATGTGTGTTCTTCCTGAATCTCGCTGAGCTTTGTGTATTTCTTCCAGATCTGTGCAGTAATCCAGTGCGAGACTTGGAGCTTCCTGTAATAAAGACCGGTCACTGCTGTTCTCTCTCCTTGTGCAGGGTGACTGGTCTCGTCTCCGCCCCCTCTTGTAATAAAGACCGCTCACTGCTGCTCTCTCTCTCTCTCCCCTTGTGCAGGGTGAGTGGTCTTGTCTCCGCCCCTCAGCAGAAGATATAAAATGTAACAGGATTTGGATATAAAGGCTACAAAATACATAAAAAAATAGAACATCTGCATCCAAACTGTTCAGGTGCAGAGGATACTAAGAGAGGAAAGTGCAATCAATAGCACCCTTGATGATATACAGGGCATATATGTTTTTGAAACTGAACTCCTGATCGATCTAAGGAGACAAATGAAGGCAATTCAGGGCAGACATACATCATTAATGTAAGTACATCATTGTACACACGTATTTAGGTACACAAGTACCAAAATTTGGTTCAGCCTCAGCCTCATGTGCTCCCTGTACGGCAGAGGTTAGACTGGGGGAGAGAAGCAGCACAAGGTGCCAATCGGCTGCATAGTAAAGCATTCATAGAACAGAAGAGATGTAAAGGACTGTACTAAAATGAGGAATAATTCTCTTATTTTTGGAGTATGTGATGGAATGATATATGATAAATGTCCCCAGCGCACCCGTGTCTTGTGTCAATAATCCATCTTCTTTATTGATGCTGACTGTCAAAAAAACAACGTTTCGGGGCCACACAGGGTCCCCTTCATCAGGTTTTAGTAGTACCCTCCTTTATACATAGGGGTTCCAGTAAGGTGTGCAGCAGTACCTCTCCAAGAATGTGATGGAATGAGACATGTGAAAAACGTTTGACCCAAGAAGGATTTACACACGGATTAGGTCGGAGGGAGGTTTGATTTCCTTTTGTACCTTCTCCCTATAACACAGTGGCTCTCAACCTGCATGACCTCAGAACCCACATTTGTCCTTGATCATTAAGTCTTGACCCAAACTGCACAGCACTGGAATGCACGGCATTGCGGCACTGCATGTTCCAGTGCAAGCGATCAAATTCTGGGCGGGAGGTGTGTTTGGGTGCCATTCAAATGAATGGCAATGCAATGCTCCCTCGTGGCCATACCCCCAGCCCATCACCCACCTTAAGCTGACACATGGCACTAGGCAGCATATTTTGAATGGCAGTGTGGCACGAGAACTGACAGTGCTGAGCTATGGGGGAGGCCGAGGAGCCTCTCACCCAGTGCATTGGAAGGCATGCGGCGACCCACTGAACATGGGGTCGTGACCCACTTTTGGGTTATGACCCACCAGTTGAGAACCATGGCTATAACTTGTACGGTCCCGTCTGCTATTCATATAAAATAGATATTTCAGTGAACACAGAGTGACTGGTTCTCTTTGAATTCCCTGCGTTTGCTTTTTTAGCAATTGTGTATCATTAATTGAAATGTTCTTTCCCCCCCCAACAGCGAAAAGCTATTAGATAAAAGTCATATCGGAGGAATGATTAAGGACAACACAATAGTAACAAAAAGCCTTGTGTCTAGCTTTTTGTTCACCCCGTACTGGCGAACGGGAACAGACAGTCCTCTCCGGCGTCGTCTGTGTACTGGTAGAACAAGCTGTCATTATCCGCGGCGGAAACAAACACAAACCGAACTCGCTGCTGCTTTCACTGGGAAATATTGACATTTCTTTCAAATTGCCTCTTACTCAAAAAACATTTCCATCCCCTTTTCTCCAGCTAAGAATAAAGTGTGTTCAAAAGAAAAAATGTGCCAAAACCCCAATTCACAGCTCGTTGTTGATCGACTGGATCAGAGTAGTGAATGGAATCTCCCGGGAAGGACACTGCGGGATGCGTTGTCAGAAAGAATTAGGAGGTAATATGGCGACGCTAGGAGTCTGTGGACGGTTACGAGGGGAAATGTGTCATTTGCAGTTCATTGAGCTTCTGTGGCGAAGGGAGACGGTGAGAGAGCGAGAACTCGCCAAGGTGTGAGAGTTTTGATTGAAAAGGTAGCAGCCTAAATTTAAAGGGATTTTTACCATTTTCTTGTGAAGATATCCATGTGAGTATAATCTGCTAAAGTACAGAGATGGCAGCTCATAAAGCAAAGAAGCTGTTTTCTCAGCAGCTCAGCACTCCCCTACTAGCAGTGACTCCGCAGCTCGGCCCCGCGCAGCTCTGACTCCGCAGCTTAGCCCCGCACCCCCCCGCCCCGTTGTGCAGTCTTGTTTTGACAGGACCTTTTCTTTTTAATGAATATGTGACTGTGGTTCTCACCCGCTGGCTCTCCCTCGTACTGTAAATGAGAGATCCCATTACTCTCAGGGCAGACATAAGCTGCATTATTTATCACCGAAGACCGCAGTACAAATTACCTTGTGAAAGCAAGCAACACGAGCGCAGGACAATGGAAAGGCAGGAGAGAGAGTCGGCTCCGCTCTCCTCCGGTAACTCAATTCAAATGTCACTCCGCAAGCACGCTCAGCTAAAGCTATGTGATCTCAAACACTTGGCCGGCGCAGGCAGACGACTGGAGCCGGCGCGGAAGTTATTGGGGCAGAAAATGGTTTTCTTCCAGCACAGTTACTTTTGAATTGGAAGTCACAGCCGAAGTAACCATTTCATTAGGCAGAGAAATGGAAGATTTCCACCATATTATGTATATTAAAAGGAGAACTATGAGGTGTGCTTTTCACTCACCTCATAGTTCTAGCCGACCTGTGACAATGAGACTGTCACAGGTCGGCTCAGTAGATCGGGAGGTGAGCGAACACATACCGGCGTTCGCTCACCTCTCGATCCTGTCACGGCTCTCTGCCGTGACAGGGGAGGGGCTGGATTCCCCCCTCCGATCCTCCAGCGCTGACTGGCGGAACGGACGGGGGAGGGGGCGGGTACAGCTGACTCTACCTCTAGATAGGCAGAGCCAGCTGTCAGTCACGCAGCTGGGCGGATCCCGGCACAATTGTCGGGATCCGCTTCAGCTGCGGCGTCTCAGTATACACAGCTGTAGCTCGCGGTATACTGAGCCTAGGGTGACGGGAGGACCCTAGTTTGTGTCCTCCCGTTACCCTAAGGAGAACTTTGGGGAAAAGGGAAAAGCCCTAACCCCATAGTTCTCCTTTAAGGAGGGAGCAGCATTTACAAAAAGGGTCAGTCATGGGTCACAACAATTCCGTACTGTTTAATGTAAAATATATCAAAAACAAAAAAAAATGTTATAGAATTGCTGCTTACAAGTCGTGGTGACAGTTTAAAGGGAATGTGTCAGGCAAAGCAAGGTTTTCTAACCCTCCTGAAGCAGTAGCTTTGAGTAATCTTCTTGTTGGGAAGGAAGGGGAGGGGGGCGGGGGCGACACGGTCACCTACAACTCATCCACATGTTAATTAAATAATAAAACCTTTGCTTTTTCTTCATCACTGGGTCTCTGTGCTTGTCGATGAAATGCAGCCAGCTCATTGCTGGCAGGAGGAGCTGTACATAGTGTCCTGAAAACATCCCAGCACCCCTCTCAAGAGCCCTCAGCCTTGATCCAAGCAGTGGGCCATGTCTTACGAGGAGTTATGCAAATGTCAAACTGCCTTGATAGGACAGTGTGTGTGTGTGTCTGGAAGAGTGGGTGTTCCTAGGCAGGATCCACTTGCTTGCACGCTACCCTAGGTAATGCCCACATGTGATGCTGAACCTTCATGGCTAACAGAACTGAAAAGCAGTAAATGAAAAGGGACGGGGTAAAAGACAGCCAGGCTGGGGATGATGTTGGACGTCCTCCAGCCAGAAAATGAGGCGAGCTCTATCTGACTTGCTGCAGCTTCTAATGCACATTGCAAGAAGCTCCCAGTGTGCAGTGATATCAGAGGAGGAGGAGAGGAGCCGGTACAACTGTGCAAGACTGAAGGGGAGGACGGAGGTCAGATATAAGACTGAAGGGGAGGACGGAGGTCAGATATAAGACTGAAGGGGAGGACGGAGGTCAGATATAAGACTGAAGGGGAGGACGGAGGTCAGATATAAGACTGAAGGGAAGGACGGAGGTCAGATATAAGACTGAAGGGAAGGACGGAGGTCAGATATAAGACTGAAGGGAAGGACGGAGGTCAGATAGAAGATTGAAGGGGAGGCCGGAGGTCAGATAGAAGACTGAAGGGGAGGCCGGAGGTCAGCTTTAAAAATGGATTTAGGTAAGCAAATTACTCATCAAAATAGCAGCAGCGGCATGAGGGTGGGTGTCACCCAGTGCGGGCGCTGCGCATGCCTTATGACGTCTGTGGTGTGGCGTCATAGCGCATGCGCGGTTATGTACTTTACTCCCAGCAGCCATCTTGTTGATGGACGCAAGCAAAGAGAGGAGGGGATAATGACCTGGCGGGATCAGTTACGATGCCAGGTTCATTCTCTCTCTCATGCCGCTGTAAGGCTCTCATGCCACATAACTGAGTGCCTGACATTTAAGAGGAGGTGACAGCAAAATGACTGGTCAGTCATTTTGGTGTCATCCCCTCTGATTGTGTCACCCGATGCGAGCTGCACCCTCCCCCCAGTGTCCATGCAAATCACAAATACCCATGCAACCCACAATAAAAATGGAGCCAGAATGTACCTCTTCCTTGGTTAACGGGCGATACTTGGTTTGATAGCGGCTCAGCTCGACGTTGAGACGGTGGATGGTCATTTTCAATGCGTCATTCTCGTCTACCAATTCTTGCGCCTGTTGCTGGAGTGAGACCAGTTCCGCCGCGTCTGCTGTGATCAAGGAAAGGAGTTACAGTGAGCGCAACCCCATGTGCTTCTCCCAGAGCAAATGATCAAAGGAATCCTTTATCCAACGTTGGCCACTGACAAGCCGATATATATCGCCAAAAGTAAGCGGGAAGACGTCTGCCCCTTAAGCTGTCCATACACTTTGAGAATTTCTGGATTTCCGGTCAGTTTCGGATGAACCCTCAGACTTCCTCTGTGCTGCCTCCCCATATTTCCGGTCATGGAGCTATTAAAATGACACTTTAATGAGCCATGACACCACAGCAAAGCTCATACCATGGTGACAATTTCACCTTCCTCCATAGAGGACCGGAAGTGCTCCTTATTACCATGCGATGACTGCAATGACATGCATTGGTTTTCCAACCGGCCCATGTCGCCCATCCTGGAGCGACCCTCCGAGTCCTTTATCTGCCATATGGTGGAAGACTAAGAGTAATGGGCAGGCTCTGTCATTTGAATGACTTAGGACGGGGCTTATCATCAGGAGGTGTTTTCTAACCGATCCATGTGTCCCTGTAAAGTCCATCTGGATCCTAGATGAAGGATTGACATTGGGCTTCCATTATTGTGAAGAATAAACTCCGCCGATCCCAGAACGACGCTCCCATGTCGTTCAACTGCCATATGGTGGAAAATCAGTGGGCAGGCTCTCTCATTTGAATGACATAGGATGGCGCTTATCATCGGGAGGTGTTTAGGCTAAACCTTAATCTGGACGGAAGTTGAAGCCTCATGTAGACCCTGGGCCTAAGATTCAAGAGAGCTCCACAGGGATGACACTGAAGGCCAACATAGGTGCCCATGTAGGGATGAGACTGAAGGCCAACATAGGTGCCCATGTAGGGATGAGACTGAAGGCCAACATAGGTGCCCATGTAGGGATGAGACTGAAGGCCAACATAGGTGCCCATGTAGGAATGAGACTGAAGGCCAACATAGTTGCCCATGTTGGCCCTCAAATAGTTCAGCACAGCCGCCGCTATAGAAATGTTTTAGGCCAGGTCAGGTACAGGTGCTTACTATTACAACACTGCATTGTCTACTTAGTACATATTTCAGCACGTGCACTGGATTGAAGTATCTCAGCATCTAGAACAGAAGCAGGCAAATAGAACATCAATCGGCAGACAAAACCAAACTCCCCAACAGATTAACAATTCTACAGTTACCTCCCATGTGGGATGTCTTCCAGGCTTCTTCCAGCTCCTTCTCATTCTTCAGATTCTTCATCTTCAGTCTCCAGGCCTTCATCTGCTGCTTCATCTCCTCCACCTGAATGCTCAGCTCATGATTCTTGTTGGTCAGCTGCTGGTTTGCTGTGTGAAGCTGCCTGATCTCCTCCTGGTTTACTTCATGGGAGCCACGAGTTCCTGCCTCCAATACACCACAGTGATTTGCCGCCTCTGATACACCAGGGCGACCTTTAGCCTCCGATACACCATGGTGACTTACCGCCTCCGATACAGCAGGGCGACCTACGGCCTCCGATGCACCAGTGGGAGTAACAGCCTCCAATAAATTGGTGGAACCTGTATATCAAATAAAAGGGGAAATGTAAAGCTCATCTCTGGCCAGGCTCCACACAGCTAATTGTCCAATGGTTTTTATTAATCTACACTTAAAGATCTGTTTATAAACAATTTTCTGGGCCCTTCGACCTGAGAATATCTGTCAAAGTTACTTTTGGATAAATAAGGCCAAAAATAAATTATAGCAATAAAGTTTTTCCAGTTCGAATGTAGAATAATAATAATAATAATAATACTAATAATAATAATAATAATAATAATAATAATAATACTACTACATTACAGCCACTAGATGGAGTTTCCCAATTCGGATGCAGTTTGTTGTTGTCATTATGACCACTAGCTGGCGCTGAGGAGCATAGTGAATAAATACTTTTCTATGTTTCTCAGCTCCATCTAGTGGCCATAGTGTATTATTACAACAACAAAATGCATTCAAATTGTGACCCAAAAGTGGGTCGTGACCACGCGTTCAGTGGGTCGCCACATGACTTCCACTTTTCTTGGCGAGAGGCTTCTCAGCCTCCTTCTAGTACAGCAATATCAGTTCTCGCACTGAGCAGCCATTCAGAATATGCTGCCTGGCACTGAGTGTCAACTTGAGGTGGGGTGCACTGGTGGTATGGCTGCCAGGGAGCTCCACCCATACATGCATTGCTTATAGCTCCCTCACATGTCCTATAGCGGTGCCTGGACTGGAGTGACATCACATTCTGGCTTCCAGCACCGCTACAGGGTGCGCATGGGAACTGTACAAGCAATGCACATATGGATGGAGCTCCATTACAGCACAGCAGCCCACATTGCCGTGTGTTCCATTGCAGTGCAACGTGGGTCGCAACTTAATGACCGACGACAAATGTGGGTCTTGAGGTTAGACAGGTTGAGAACCACTGATCTAGAGGCCATAATGTATTATAATACCTCTATATTCAAATTGATATACTGTATATAAAAAAAATTTAAAAAAGAGCATTTTTTGCCATTATCCACCCAAAGCAAACATTTACAGATATTCGTGAAGGGTCCAGAAAATTGTTTTTTACATAAAAATAAAGCAAATTCTCACCTTAAAGTACAGTTATGAATTACCAAAATGTTGAGTTCATATTTCACACACAACAGCTCTGCATTTTGCAGTAAAATTCGATGCAATAATGAATATCTTACTCTCTTGTTAGTTTCTTTGCAAGTCTTCATTCCCATTACAGCATCAGCCACCTAAGGGTGTGGAGGGAGGGGGTTATGCTGTGCTACCAGGAAGTTGCAGAAGGGACTATAAAAACTACTCCTTCCAGCAATCGCAAGGCTCCCTGGCAGTCTGTGGGCCTGGTAATCACACAGTGCTGGGCGATTCACATGTGCTGGATTAGTCAGGACTGGACGGTGCTAAATACATGATAGATGTGTGTGTCTCTAGAGGACTATACAAGTGACTGCATTACGTCACGGCGCCATGCTGTAGTCCAAGCTACTAGAAGTTGTCAAATTGGCGACTTCGCAATAGTTGTAAGTGAGCAAAAGGAGCCATAAGCATTATCGGGGGGGGGGGGGGGGGTCTATAGTTCTACTTTAATTTATGGTCACATGACAAGCCGGGTCTGAAGGTAGCTTTAAAAGCGGTCTGAAGAATTCCAGAAGCTTTGCAAATAATTTATAAAAGCTCTTCCTGTACACGCTACTCCAAGCCGAAGCCCATGTGAACAAGTCCTAACAAAGGCAAGCTACCTGATCTGACCACTTCGGTCACTCGGGATCTGCGGGCTGTTGGGTCCGGCTCAGGTATCGGAGACTCCGCAGCGGGATCAACTCTGCTTTCTGCACAAAACAAAATGAAATGTCATCAGTTCCATCTATGCGAATGGAAATGTTACAGAGATGGAGAGAGGGGAGGAGGTTTCTGTAGTCCTAACACGCTTCCTGTCCTAGGGTAACAATGCTGCTCCTCCATACAGCGAGTGAGAGTTGTGACCCTAGGACAGGAAGTGTGTTGGTGAAAGGATCAAAGAAAATAAAATTAAAACAAAAAAAAAAAGGGAAGAAGTGCAGCCCCCACATCTAATCCTGAAAATGTAGTTAAAAAAATGGTCATCTAGCTTGCAAATTTATGAGCTTTATTGCTCAAGAACATCAGATACAGCCGATGCGTTTCGTGGGACAGGCCTCTCCCTTCTTCAGGTCTTAAAAAGGGCTTCTCTTTATGCTTCTTTATGATAAAAGAAAAGAAAAATCAATCACTTTAAAGCCTGGATGAAGGCTAAAATGGGTAACCTGATCAGGCCCGGGCTTTCAGCCTAAACCTCCAGCAACTCCCCAAACAGTGGCGTCACAAGGGGGGTGCGGCCCGCACCCAGGTGACACCATTGGAGGGGTGACACCAAAATGGCTCACAGTCATTTTGGTGTCACCCCCTTCTGAAAAGTGGGGCGCTCGATCATGGACCGAACGCCCGACAGTATCAGGAGAGAGGAGGGGACCCGGCGGCATACCTTATACCGCCGGGTGACTGTCCCCTCCTCTCTCTGCCGGCGTCCATCACCAAGATGGCCACCGACAGGTATCAGAATACTGCCGCGCGTGCACGATGACATCACGTGCACGGTGACGTCACACACAATGCGCAGTGACGTCTCGGCGGGGTGACACTGGGTTACCGCTCCGGGTGTCACCCAGCCTCGGGACGCCCCTGCCCCCAAACACTCTCTATTGAAGACCTACACCTGAACCAATCCTCATACCCATTGGTCCAGTGCTACCACATGTGTACCAAATCCTTACCACATCTAAGGACCGATAAGCTGCCATATATTACATTTATGTTGTTGGATTTAGATCATTTTAGACCTTCAGGCCGCATTCTCACAACAAAGCTACAAAGCCCCTCCCCACTATGCAACAACGAAACCAAATCTATCTACAATGTAACTGTAGGCGCACAATCCAGGACTGAAAGAGTCAGAAGATTGAGGACTAGGAAGGTCGGGAGAAGAGTTCCGTCGTAAATCAGTTCCTGGGTTTGTTCTGACTCCGAGGAACTTCAATTAGTCTGCCAGAAGAAATATGTCCGTGATGGAACGATAGCGATGCGCTCCAAAGACCCGACACAAGCGTGATCTCATTCTTGCTAATGTGCACTACAACGCCGACTTATCAATCAGATTTATGACCCGTGTTTGTGTTCTGTATTACATGTGTGGCAATGGTTAGCTGAGGTCGCAGATAACACATATTGGGGGATGGAAGTAAAAGCTTAAAATAAAAATGTCATTTTCTAAATCTTTGTTACTTTTTAAAAAAGGCGTAGTCCACCTTATGCAAACATGTATTAAATTCATCAATATTGATAATAATAGTTTTTTAAAAAGTGCATTAGGTACATTTTGTATTGGGACCTGCAGAGCATTGCAATAAAGATCAATGCCTATTGAGTGTATCCTGAGCAATATTCGGGGCTGTATTAATGTTTACCTCCAGCCTCTGCTCTGTATAAAAGGTAAGGACCTGGCTGGAGGAAGTGTCACTGAACAACAGAGTGGTGATAGAGGACGGATCACCAGCACCCTCTCTCTACGAGTCCTAGGTGTGCTAACAAGGAGCATGCTGATTGGAGGAGAGAGAGCAGAGGGAGGTTGTTATGACCGCAAAGTGAAGCTCCGTATAAATGGCCATGGTTGGTTTTGGAACTGGAGGTCCAATAAGCTCATATAGGAGTGGTCAGGTGACCAAAACATATTCACAGACCTACAAAGTAAAGGAGGAGGAGCGTGTGTAATGCTGGGGGAGGAGCACATTCAGTGAATCGGCAAAACACGGGTTCTCTTCACATGTGGTCTGTGAAATTTTAATCAATGCAATACCTGTACCAATCATACCTGTTGACCCTGCCAGGGAGGTGCATCTAATGAGCTTGAGTGCCTGACTGAACCTGACCTGCCCCTTTAATCCAGTTCTTTCAATATGGAGGCTCAGCATCCTATGTGGGTGCTACCCAGGGCAGTCTGCGGCATGCATAGAAACACCCACCCATCACATTTGCATAACTCCTCCCAAGAGGCAGCCCACTGCTTGCATCAGGGCTGAGGGCTCTTGAGAGGAGTACTGAGGCAAGTGATGTCATCACTGGGTCCCTGCGCTTCTGTGCAATGTAGGCAGATCATGTTGGTGGGAAGGGCCAGCAGGGTGCTGTACATAGCTTCCTGAAAACATCACGGCACCCTGCTGGCCGCTCCCATCAGCATGATCTGCCTACATGACATAAAATTAGTCTAACGGGTATATAATGTAAAAGCTAAGGGGGGAGGAGCTGGTGTATATATATATGTATATAAGAAGTGAAGCTCAGGTCCGTTCCCATGAATAGTATGCCATCTCCAAGGTACAAGCCTACACCCTCAGCATTTCTGTACCCCTTTATGTGCCGATAAAGAAAAACATTACCTTCTCCGGGAGAGTGATCTGAAAAGGCTTGATAATTGTCCATGTCAGAAGAAGTTGCTCCGCTGCCATCAATTTCCTCCTGCTCTGGAGAGGCTGTAGGTCTCTATAGAGATAGAAAGGTAAGAGAGATCATTCAGCCCACATATTGCACAATGTACCTTTTAAAGTCACATGACCAGCATTCCTCCAATCACACAGCTCCACTTAGCAAAGTGAACTCAGCAAAGCTTTGCTGGCTACATGGCGGGGCCCGGTTTTTAAGAATGAGATGGGCCACAGTGCGCGTAGGAGAGGGGATAGTAATGTCCCCTAAGTCTCCAAACAAATACCTGTTGATCCTGCCAGTCAGGTGCAGCTTACTGTGAGAGGAGTACTGAGGCAGGGTTTTCAGGAAGGCATGTACAGCACCCTGCCGGTCCCTCCCAGCAGCCATGATCTGCACTGCATTGCACAGATACCCAGTGATGACATCACTCGGTCTAACAGGTATGCAATTAAAATGGAAAGTTTTTTTGTAACCATTTCATCCTCCCATTGATGATGGGGGTGGGGGCTGAACCAGGGAAGGCAAAATATATCTGCACCTTTAAATATCTCTAAATATTCTGTGCTGTAAAGTTTGCAGCCACAGCGCCATCCGGTGGTATTGTTTTGTCACTGCACGCACTGCAATTCTGACAGTTCCCGAGCTACTTTGCAGAGGATTCTCACGGTGGTGATGCTGTGAAGGCCAATTATGTAGTTAAGTTGTTTAGAGAAACAAGTGCGAATTAATATTCTTACTCTATCTCTGTTTACGTGGCGCTAAAGAGACCGTGTACATGTGAACAGTGTGCGGTGCAACTCCCGGAATGCGGAGGCGGAGTGTATGCAGATGAGCAATTCGATCATTAAAGCAGAACTCCAGCTACAAAACAAATTTTTTCCCCAGAAGCACCCCCCCCCCCCCC